TCTTTTTTTTTTTTTTTTTTTTTTTTGAGTTGGAGTCTCACTCCATCGCCCATGCTGGAGTGCAGTGGCACACTCACGGCCATCCCAGTGTCGACCTGCTGGGCTCTGGCGATCCTTCTGCCTCAGTCTTCCAAGTAGCCGGAACTACAGGCGCACACTACCAGGCTGACTAATTTTGTATTTATTGTAGAAACAAGGTCTCGCCAAGTTGCCTGATCTGGTGTCGGAACCCGCAGGCTCAGACAATCCACTTGCCTCGGCCTGCCAAAGTACTTGGAGTTACAGGCAGAGCCACTGAGTCCGGCCGACACCCAGTATTCTAATATTTGACCTGGGGAGTGGTACTAATGCCATATACTTATGGCTTGGTACACTTTTGTGAATACTTATTATTCTACGCAACTTTAAAATATTTGAAAAATTGTACATATTAGGAGATATGCCTTGTCTAAGGAGTCTGAGAACACTGCACCGAAGAGGTAACATTAACTGAAAAATGATGGAGTTATTATTCTTAGGTGACAAGATGAGCTGAGCTGTCCCTATTAGCTCATCTCCTATTAGTCTCCCCTACCTGCTCTAGCCACACCTGTCCCCTTGCTGTTCCTTAACAAGCCAGACATGATTCTGCCTTAGGGCCTGGCACATTGGTTGTTTTCTCTTTCTGGAGTGCTTCCGCCAGATACAGGTATGCATAATTCTTTCATCTCTTTGACTTTTTGCTCAAATATTTTCTTCTTAAAGAGGAGTAACTTGTCCACCCTATTCAGAATTACTGTTTACATACCCAATCCAATCATAATATCATTTCTTTTTACCCATCTCTTCCCCCACAATAGTCATTAACATCTTCTACAACACCATGCCTTCTATAATTATTTCTTATATTTATATTTAATGACTATCCATTTAATGTCTGATATTTAATGTCTGAATTAGACTTGAGTATCTAGGAGAAGAGGACTTTTGTCTTTTTTGTTCACTGATGTGTCACATGCTTTGGCACATAGTAAATAGAGTATGTATATTATATACAGGGGATGCCAAAAAATGTACACATTTTAAGTATGACGTGTGCTCAAAAGATAACAATAATCAAATGAATGTTAGTGTCACCACAAGACAGGCAGGACAGTCAAAGAAAATGGTAGAAGCATAGTTGAGCAAATATCATACTACACATTGATACCATAATTTAATTCAACTTCAAAAAGCAATACATAAATAACATCTCTTAAACTGTGTATACATTTTTTGGCACTCCATATATATGTATATGTTAATTAATTCTTTCTGTGTTCTGGGTTCTATACTATGTACCTTTCATGTAGTCACTTGCTGAAACCTCACCCATGAGGTAGGTACTCTTTTATGCATTAGAAAACAAAAACACAGAGGTTAATTAATATGTCCAGTGTTACAGATCTAATAACTGGTATAACCAGGACTGAAATGCAGTCATCTGGTTCCCGAGTCTAGGAGGTTAACAACTCACTGCACTACTTAATATAATAGTTGAATAGAAAAAGGAGACAAATGAAAAATCTCATGAGCAGAGGAAAAAGTATATAGTATATGGCACAGAACAAACATTTACTTAAATGTTTATGGAATTAACCAGGAGGGAGGGGTCTTAGATTATGAAGGTGAAGAAAAATCACAGAAGACTACACACAATAAGATACCATCTAAAGAAAGATTTAATAGAATACTAAATAGCATATTTTTTTTGGTGGGAGAGAAACTATTAGAGTAAGTCAAGGAAATGATAGAACAAAATAGATTGCTTAGGGAGAGGTTGAATTAAGAGGAAACATATTGAAAATGTTCTATTTTCTAAGTTGGATGCTGAGTTCACAGTTGTCATTTTATTAATATGTTTTATAATTTCATACTCATAGTTTAGTTGCAGTATTTTTTATATATAATACAAAGTAAATATACCTAAAAAGTCAGTAAAAATACATGAATGATAAATGTTAGAAATCTTAAAGGTCAAAGCGGGAAGGACCCTCTTTCGGTTAATAGTTAAAAAAAAAACTTACAACCATGTCTGTGAATATATGTTTTGTAACTGTGCCTATTATAAAACTTATAAGTGACTAGCACCAGGAAGTATAATGAGGGAGAAACAGGTGGAGAGGACTTTTGTTTTTTAGTCTTGGCAATCATACCTCTCTATCATCCACCTGGTAGCCACATGATCTTCTGAGCTAAGACAAGATCAGGAGCATTCCAGGTGATATGGCGGGAGACAACACATGATCACAGTTACAAGTGGATGATATTCTGTCACTTCCTTCTCTAAATCATTCCATTGGCATCTCAAAGTAATCAAAATGAAATCTAAATTTATATAATGTTAGAAATACCGAGGAATCTAGCTTGCCTTTTCCATTTATTTTATTTCGCTCTCTCACCTACTTTGGTCAGCAACATTTTTTGCAAGTTCTCCTCATCTTAAAGGCATCAGTTGTTCTCTCACTGGAATTCTCTTTCCCTGAACTTCTTTTCCTCCTGTCATTCAAAATCTCATCACTCAGACCTTGGGATAAATATCAACTCAAAAGATAGTCTTCCTCTAGCTCTTAATCCAAGTAATCCAAGTAGCCACCTGGCTTCTTTGCATCACCATATTTTGGTTCTCTGACAGCCTTCACAAACTAATATTTTCTGTTGGTTTGTTTATTTATTAACACATTTTCTGTCTCCCAATGCTAGAATAAAAGTTCCAATCCAAGGGGACATTATCTGTTTTTTAACCATTTTATCCTCAGAGCTTAGAAGATTGTTGACATTACATAGAAGGCACCTGACATTTCCAAATAGAAATAAAAATGTAAAATATATAGAGATTGTTATTATCAACATTCTCTGATGTAAAAAAAAAAGGCATCAATACTCTCCAAACTTTGTATAACATCAGTGAATGTTTTAGCATTTGCTTTTGGAAGGTCATAATTAACAAGCAATTTATTTATTAGTTTTACCTAAGTAAATAGAATGAATTTAGTAACTATAACTTCATGTAGGGTTGGTTTGTCACAGTTAATCAGAATTAGTATTATATTAAATATAAGAAAACAATGTATTTTTTTTCAATAGTAGAATTGTTATGTTACTAACTATAAAAGTGAGGAAAAATATATTACAGCTTTCAAATATATACATATAATTATATTCTATAATAATGACACTAATAAATGGTAGCAGGTATCATTTATTGAGCATCCACAATTTATTCTAAATGTTTTGTATACATTAGAGGTCAATCTTCCTAACAACCTAAGACGTCAGTATTTATTACCACCATTTTACAGATGAAAAACATGAAGGTCAATGAGATTAATAACTTGTTCTATGTCATAGCTGGCTAGAATTCAAACCAAGGTATACCCCTGCACCAAGTTTATCATTATGTTATTAAGCTGCACTCCCTTATCTCATTTAGAAGTATTGCTAAACATTGCACAGCTCCTGTTGTAACTAAATAGATGAAACTTCCAAATATTGCTATTATTTCATTAATGACATTCATTGAAATAGGATGATGCCTATTATAAAAATAGGATGAAATACAAATAGGATGATGCCTCAAGAGTTCAGTAATGTGAAAAGTATGTAGGATCTAATCAGGCTGGATGATGGAGAGAATCTCAACAATTTCAATTGAAAAGCTGTGGAAAAGTTAATTACAAAAAAGCGGGGCAAGGACGCCAGTTTCACTAGTTTGAAAATAAAGACATTGATTATAAGAAGGAGCTCATGCTGGAAACATCACCCTGGTTTGCACCACTTTTATGCAAGAATTCAGATCTCTGATTGGCAAATTTAGTTGTCCTAAACTCAGAAATCTCTGCCCATCTGACTTCATACATCTGTTACCCTAATTTGCAACTTTACAATGTCAGTAAGGTATAGAGATGATATATCAAATTCAGATTATTAATAATTGTGCATTATATTTAAAAACAAGTTTCATGATTTGTAATTGGTAAATTATTTAAGATAATCTGATATGTTTGACAGTTGTAAGTTAGTTTTTAAAAATTTTGCTGAAAACACTAGATTGATGTTAAATATATAGTTTTATTTGCAAGATAAAACTCAATTAAGTTTAAGTATTTATAAAAACACTGTTTACTCTTTGATTTTAAAGAGTTGTTTGAGTGCTATTTAGATGTATATGACTGGACAGTTGATGTGTTTGAGAGAATCAGATGTATTTAATTTACAAATTATACTTAAAGAGTATAAGGAATTTTTTTTAAGCATTTAAATAGAATTGTTTAGAGAAATTTAAACTATAAAGCTTACAAACCAATCGAACAGTCATCAAAGAACAAATAAAGCAATCACTCTTATTTTACATAAAATTATCAAATTTATGAAACAATAATTAGATTTATAAGTTGAGCTAAAAGAGTTCAGAAAAATTAATTCTTGATTATAACTTCATTTGCCACTTTAAATTCAAGCCTTTCTCAGAAAAATTTAATTGAAAACACTGAAAACATGACTGCTTTTCCTACTGAATCATGCAATCTTAAAACTATTAGTTTGCTAATTTGAACCCAAACTCATCATGACCTACATAATCCCATGTTTTGTGTTTGATTGGCTCATGTTTGTTTTCTGCTTAAATTTATATGCAATCATCTTTGGGCTAACACTGCGACACAGGAAATATGGCACACAATTTATCTAAAAGTTTAAAATTTCTCCAGTGAGGGCCTATGCAGCTACAACTAGCCCTGGAAGCATGAGCGTAGAGCTCAGACCTGCTGACTCAATGATGCTGTTGTGGTATTCTTTGCTGCCTTGACTTGTTCTTCAAATTCTCAACACATAATATGGTTTGAGTTATAATTGTTTTTACTAAACATACCATATTATATGTAAATTATCTCAGTTTATAATAGAGGACTATTACACTGGTTAAAAGAATTACCCCCAAGAATTACACACACACACACACACACACACACCCCTTTCTTTGAATTTTGGGTGAAATAGCAAAGTCCATTCTTCATCTGCCATATTCAACTAAAACAATCTGAAGTCATTAATTATTGTGCCAACTTAGACCCTAAATTTCGTCACTTATAACAATTCTGGTTTTTTCACTTTCTGGCAGAATCACTCCCATGAGAGACCTAGTGAAATAACAGCAAACTTGATGTGTTGAACACTTGAAATACAAAGTAGCACTGACTAGTAACAGAATATAGGCAAGAGATATGTTATTTCAATGAACAAATATTGTTTACCTGTGAGCCTGTAGAGTAGCGTCCAGGAGTTCGAGAACCAGATGTTTTCCCTGAACCAATGGAACTCTCTGTACTTTTGCCGCTACAGCAATGCGTTCGGAGGCATTTTCCATACTCTTTTCGTACCTAGTCAATTAAATATTAACATCTGTTAACAAATGCTCATTTCAGCTACGAACTAAGGTATATAACATGTGAGTTTTACTTTTAGAAAATATAGTTATTTCCTTGCCCTACAGATCTAAAAATGTCTGTTCAGCACATATTTTACAGTATAAAATGATTATATTCATACTGTCATGCTTGGAATTTTGCATAACTGGAATGTTTCAAAACAAATACACAGACACACACATCTCCAATCACATCATAGTGAGAACAGAATGAGCAAAACAGAATAATTATGTGTTAGCCATTAAAGATCTAAGTTCAGAGAACATATATTTAAGCCCCTTCAAGACGCTATTTTTAGCTTCATAACTTTGATATAAAGTAGCCTATTGGTGGAAAGGTATTGTAGCTATTGTTATTTAGGCAGAAGTTTAATGAGAAAGAGAGTAGGGTGGAGAAGAAAGAGAGGGGAGGAGGGAAAGAGAGCAGAGAAAGGATATTTAAAGGCAGAAAAAAGAAATGTGCTTGACTAGGCATTTATTTTAAATCTATTTGAAGTTTATTTCTCTTGAAAAAGGTCAAATTTTCAACCATAGAATAAAAATTCAAAATATTTTAAATTTATTCCCTCAAAATAGTTCTACCCAATAAACATGAGAAATATAATCACTTTGCTTTGTAGCATTGTTGATTAAATTCTTAATCCTGGTTGTAATATAAATCTACAGGGGAAAAAGAGGCAAACATCTGTTAGTAGATATTTCTAAGCAGACAAATATATCAATCTTGGGGGAAACTTTTATAGTGTTTAAAATTTTTATTACTGTCTATTTAATTGAATAAGTCATATAAAAATAAATAGTAACTGCCTAAAATCCTACTTTTACTTTCAATTATAACAATATGGGGCACCATCTTATATTGGTTACACATTCACAAAGTTACATGATGAAGTAACACTATAGATATTATTGTTAGCTCTTTACATATTTGGCTTCATATGAGTTCATAATTTTCACAATTTACGACAATGGAACATTCCAATGTGATTTTATTTAACTCAAAGCTATAAATGTATGCTTTATAAAGGAATGTTATTTATAATCAAAAGCAAAAAAAGGAGTTAAATAATACATTAAAATTAGTAGTAAACATGTAAGCTTTATATCATATTACTGTAAAGTTCATTCTGCCAAAGATATAGCAGAATCAAATGTAAAACATATTCAGATTTTCTCAAAGAACTCACACTTATTGAATTTGATAAGAACAGTGATAGAGATATGGACAGGTACTCAAGTACGGAGGAGGGGTGCAGGCTGAAGGTAGGTAAGGGGATTGGGAAGACTTCTTAGGGAAGACGGCTTCTGAGAGAATCTTTCAAAGAGAGGTAGGAATTAGTCAGCATACAGTGTGAAAATCAAGGATAGGGAACAAAAGGAGGAAAAGACATTCTAAGCTGTAGAGACCAGGATAAGCAAAACAGGGTTATGACATGCTAGCCTTTAAAGTCTATCTCTGCTTTGGAATGCCAACATTGCATATTTTTCATGTATTTAAAATTCTATTGATGTGTTTTGCAACCAGTCTCTTCTATGCTACATTTATCAATAATGAGAAATAGAGATAATTATTTTTGTTCAGTGTTTACAAACCAATCCATATTTTAATTAATAAAAAAAAGAAATATGTGTACTCATTTGTGTGTGTTTTTAAGATGGGTGTGTGTTGGGTGGAATGAAAAACCTCTTATTTTTAATCACTATTTGCCAGGAACTATACTAGGTAAAGACCTCAAAATGACTCGGAAAAATATTTACCTTCATTTTATAGATGGGGATGCTGAAATGATTAAGAAATGAGAGGAAACCAAAAGGCTAAGAAGGTTAAACTATGTACCTTATGTGAAAAAATCCAAATCTCATGGGTGCTCTATTTAGCAGGAAGCTCAAAGATACCACGTTCCTAACATTGATATATGTCCAACACAGGCATTGTATATTCTTAGTATTATTATTTTTAAAAATCTATTAGATTATTCTTTTCCTTATGTTTGAAAAAAAATGAGAAAATATTTTAATTAAAAATTGAGAAGCTTAAAATAATCTCTAACCAAAGGTATGCACTGTCGATTACAGTTGAGTAATTTGTTTTGAATTTATGAAGCATCTCCAAGAAATTAAATTTTGACCATAACCTTCTCCTGCCAGATCCCACCTTGCTTTTCCTCAAATACTCAACAAGTGACATTTTTCTTTCTAGTTGAGAAAGTGTTTTTAATGAAGTGATTTAGACCTAGACAAATATTTTAGTACAAAGAGAGAGGGAAGGAAGAGAGAAAGTGAACCACTCACTGCTCCTCTTGTTACAAATACAGCAATATTGTATAAGCCACAGGAATTTATCATGTAATATTTGCGTTTTCCAACAAAGATTAAATGTGCTGAACTGATTATATAAACAACCAGCAAATCAAAATATTTGATGATGCCAAGTTCCACATTAGCTACATTACTTTCGGAATCATTATATTGACTTTACTTTGCTGTGATTTAATTTGAAATTGTGAGCATGTGTCTTAAAAAAGAAGAAAGTAAAACAACATGGGCTATGTCCACAAAATATTTTTCTTTAGATTACAATAAAGCAGTTATCTAATTATTTGCAATTTAATATAGTATATAACATGATAATCTATCTTAACTACCCCAGCCAGACAGTATCTAATTTTGATGTTCCAGAATATTGAAGACAGGAAAGAATACACCTTACTAACGGAATATTTCTTCTACACTCTCAGATCAGAAAAAAAATTATAATGAAAGCTCCGGGAGTGTGTCAACCATATGAGTGTAGAACAAAAAACAAAAGTGACCACTTTAATGTCACCGGTGGAAATACTGGTGACACAATCATGTAATCCATACCCAGAAAATGACTAACAACTCAAAATGTTTAATTTCAATCAAACAAGTAGCCCGATAAAGATAAAAAACGCTGGACGCAGTGGCTCAAGCCTGTAATCCCAACACTTTGGATTGCCGAAGCGAGAGGATTGCCTGAGCCCATGGGCTTGAGACTCGCTTGGGCAACTTGATGAGGCCTTGCCTCTACAATAAATCAAAAAATTAGCCAGGTGTAGTGGCGCATGCCTGTGATTCCAGCTACTTGGAAAGCTGAGGTGGAAGGATCGCCTGAGCCCAGCAGGTCAAGGCTGTGATGACTATGAGCATGCCATTGCACTCCAGCCTGGGTAACAGAGTGAGACTTCAACTCAAAAAAAAAAAAAAAATAGAAATATTTCTTATTTCTCTAATCAAAACATATAAGCAATATATTAGCAATGGCATATTAGTGAAATCCAATAAGATGGCTTTTCTTTTTCTTTTTTGAGTTGGAGTCTCACTCTGTCGCCCAGACTGGAATGCAGTGGCCGCTCCCGGCCACCGCAGCCTCGACCTGCTGGGTTCCGGCGATCCTTCCACCTCAACCTTCCAAGTAGCTGGAACTACAAGCACGCGCTACCACACCCGGCTAATTTTTTGATTTATTGTAGAGATGAGGTCTCACCAAGTTGACCCGGCGGGTCTCGAACCCTCGGGCTCAGGCAATTCACTCACCTCAGCCTCCCAAGGCGCAGGATTACAGGCTGAGCCACCGAGCCCGGCTAAGATGACTTTTCAGAGACCACCCAAGACTATTTTTGTAATTTCAAAGATAAGTACCTAATTTTTTTCTGTATGAAAAAAGAAAATAGGCTTTTGATATTTTCTGATGTTGAGTCATGTTCAATACACCAAATAAAAATCCCACCAAAATTTTAAAATTCAAAACACAGAATGAATGAAAAAACAATATGTATATTCCTTGTTATTGTAAATCATAAAAGTAAGTTTCTAAACCAGGGTCTGGCAAGTACTCTAATAAGGACCAGATCGTCATTATTTTAGGTTTTGTAAGTCAAAAAGAAAAACAAAGTATATTGTGTTTATACCTATTTCAAAACTTAAATGTAAGCCTTTGAAAATGTAATAACCATTCTAGGCTTCCTGGCTGTAGAAATAAAAGACAGCTGGATGAATTTGGCTCACGAGTCATAGTTTCCGGAACTCTGTTTTAATGAATCACAAAATTGAACTTGATGACATATATATTTTAAAATTTAACTTACATTAAATATGCTAAATACACTAATATCTCTAGAGTTGTTTTTAAGACTTGAGGTGTAGAGTCTCTACTGGGATATCAAATGCAATTCCTAGTTATTCCAGTGATGTGTTTATGTTAAGAAAAGAAAAATAAAAAATAATTGGAAAAGCTGTATTAAGTATTGGCCCCTAAAAAATACTCAAAACCAAAGTAATTTATATGTAAAGTGCAAATAATTATTTTTGCTCCACAGAAAATTTCAATATTAAACTAAAAACTACTTCTTCAGAAGTTGTTAGAAATTAAAAGATAAATACAATGTTAAAGTTATGATAGTCCAAATTTCCAGCTAATGTATAAAATAAAGATGACAGGTAAATCTTATCTACTTTACTTCAATATGTTGTGACTGATTATAATGGCTTAATATTCCCTTATTTCGTGGACAAATGCTATCCTTTCCATTAATCTCCTCATTTTGCTCACATCTTTTTGTGTATATTTCTCTTGAGAATCAGTTATGGCTTTCTTCTATCCAAATCTGGATGTCTTTCCCAAGTATTTAGTCTCTGACTTCTCTTTGACAATACTAACCAGGGTCTTCTTGACATTTTCTCCTATCTTTAATTCAGTGTAACATCTTGATTCTCATTCTTCTCATCCTTCCTCCTTCCTTCCATCTTTATTCTCATTCTGCAATTACATTTCTCTTCCTCATTAAACTAATTAGGTGTGGTAGACCTAGCTAGCTGTTCATCACACCTCCTTTTTCTGGGTAAAAGAACTAGACTTTTTTTTTTTGCAGTTTATTTACATGGTAATGTTGATACAGTCATAGCTAATGAAAAATGAGTAAAAACAATGTGAGCCACTTTCAGGTCTTTTACACAAGATCCATTCTTCCCAGACTGCCTGCTGAAAGTCAACACCAAAGATAGCTGTGAAATTATATACTGAAGTTGGTTGAGCCTTAATCAGTGTATGTCCCTCCATGAAGCATCCCCATCAATTGAGCAGTGAGTTAGGCCACTATAATCTTGGGTATATATTCATTCATTATTTGAGAGGGTTCATTCATTCTATAATAAGCTGTCTACTATTAGATTAGAATTCACTCATTCTAATATAAACCCCTTTCTTTTCTGTAATCTACATTAGAAGTCTGACTCACTAACAGAGTGAGTCACCTCTAGTCTGTATTTATGATCACATTGACACATTTTAGATCCCTATACCTTCTAAAATTGACACAGAATAGTTTTGTTTTATTCCTGTTCATCTTGACAAGTGGACATCCTTCTCTCAACTTCTGGTTTTGGTCTGACCAGTCTCTAAAACCAAAAAACTTAGAGACAGATATTTTTACTTTTTGTTTTCTTTGTTTTTCAAAGAAAAATTAAAGATCTTATTTTTTCTTTCTTATAAATTTTAAAACATTTTCCACTTCATTTTCAGAACTACCTCTTTCAATATTTTATAATTATTTTCATCACCTTCATGCCACACATGAGCAAACTGAGACATGGGAAGATGAATTAATTTGCCAAAAGTTGCTTAAGTGTTTAATTGGAGGAACTGAGATTCAAGCTCAGGCAATCTGACTCAGGGGTCTCTGTGATTGGAGTTATAGAGACCATGTTTCTAACAAAGTTGAAAAGTACAGCCTGAGCAACAAGTGAGACCTTGTCTCTATAAAAAAAAAGAGAGAAAAAAGAAATAAAGAGAAAGGAAAGAAAGAAAGAAAGAAAGAAAGAGAGAGAGAGAGAGAGAGAGAGAGAGAGAGAGAAAGAAAGAAAGAAAAAGAAAGAAAGAAAGAAAGAAAGAAAGAAAGAAAGAAAGAAAGAAAGAAAGAAAGAAAGAAAGAAAGAAAGGAGAGCATGGTGGCCCATGCCTATAGCCCTAGCTACCTGGAATACTGAGGCAGAAGGATCACTTTAACCCAGAAGATTGAGGCTGCAGTGATCCAGTACACTCCATTCTGGGCGAAGTGTGAGACCCCAGACAAAAAGAAAAGAAAAAAGAGAAAAATATAAGATTGAAATATCAATCTTGGAATTTTTTTTAAAATGCAGTAAAAATATTTAGTTCCTAAAATTAACTTTAAAAAGTATATTTTATATACCTGTAAAAGCTTGCAAAAACAGATAAATACCAAAAATTGAATATAGCATTCAAGTAATAGATTTTATAAAAAAGGTTTTTAAAGGAAAGACATATAGAGACCATTACCAATTATTCCATCTTTCATTTAAAAAATAAGTGTATATTATTTTATCATAAGATGTCTAGACATTTATATTTTTGTAGCATAAACATAAACTAGTTTTAAATATATATATATATGAGACCCAAAGGAAAAAAAAATATTTTGGAGGAGTGAGCCCTTTGTAGTACAGTCTCAACTGCTAAGTAAATGTTCTAGGAACACATCGGATTGAGTGTATATCAGTTAGCACTTTCATGAAAAATTTACGGAAGAGATGTCCTAAGTTGTGGCAAATAGGTAAGTGGTTCTTCCACCGTGACAATGCACATGCCCATACCATGCTGAGTGTTCAGCAGTTTTTGACCAAAAACAGCTTGACCCTTGTTCCCCACCCTCCCTATTCACCTGATCTCACCCCTAGTAGCATGCTTTGGTTTCCCCAGATTAAAGAAAAAAAATTCCTCAAAGGCAGTGTCCCCAACCTTTCTGACATTAAGAATTGTTTTTGTGGAAAACAATTTTTCTACGGTCAGTGTGGGATGGGGATCATCAGGCATTAGATTCTTATAAGGAGCACACAACCTAAATCCCTCACATTCTCAGTTCACAGTAGGGTTTCTGCTCCTACAAGAATCTAATGCCTCTCTGATCTGGTAGAAGACAGAGTTCCACTGGCCAGCCACCCCCTTCCTCCTGTGTTGTTTGGTTTCTAACAGGTCATACACCAGTACTGGTACCAGGCCTGGGAGTTGGGGATCCCGGTTCAAAGGGAAACATTTTGCTAATATGAAAGAGGTGAACAAAAAATAGCAGAAGTACTAACAGGCATCAAAATTGATAGTTCCAAAGCTGTTTTGAACAGTGAAAAAGTATCTTGATAGGTGTAATGTATCATAAGGATAGTAATTTGAAGGTGACTGAAGTTTAAATTTGTAAGAATAAATACACATTTTTTTGTAAATAAGTTCTGGGATTTTTGAGTTCCCCCCTTAATATATATCATGTCAAGCTATACCGGGGGTACCAGAAAAATGTATACAAAATTTAAGAGATGTTATCTATGTACACTTTTAGCTGACCATAATTAGAAGTATCTGGATGCTAATGGTAACCACTTTGAGCAACTCCTGAAACTGCAACTTCTGTAACTGCAGAAGTCAAACTTAATTTGTATTCATCTATAATTTTCACTGTTCTAAACAGTTTTTCAACTCATCAATTTGATGACTTTTCGTGCTTCTGCTGTTTTTTGTTCACCTCTTTCATGTTAGCAAAACGTTTTCCTTCAAGTAAGAGTCCTCAACCCCCAGGTCAGGGGCCATTACTGGTCTGTGGCCCACTAGGAACCAGGCCACACAGGAGGAATGAAACGGAAAGGAAATAGTTTTTTCCTTTCTTGCAATGTGTATACATATTTTTGGCACCCTCTGCCTATATCATGACTCCATGACGTTTTAGAAAAGCATTACTTCCTTATAAACAAAGTTATTTGTCTGTCAATAGAGATAGATATTAAAGAATATATGGAATTAAAAGCTATAAGGTCAAGAATATAATTTTGTTCATTGTCTGAACGAGAAAATTTTTTATTGTTTTTTATTATTGAACATTGTCACCAAATATTATGCATATTTCTTGTATAAGTTTTGTCTTTGCTGTTATAAAAAATGAATCTTTTTTTATAGACAAACATATCAAGAATGATATATTAGACTATGTTATAGTTGCTTTGCTATCATAAGATATATGGCTTTTAACTTTAAAGAGAGAATTCTAGCTTACCTTCTTCTGTAGGACACAATGGAAAATGAATATAAACATTCCCTGTAGAGAATTGAAAATGGTGAAGAGATACGCCATGATGACTGTGCTTTCATTAATATACATGAGTCCAAAGGCCCAGGTCAATCCTAATAAGCAGAGAAGAGCTATTGCACCTATAACCCATGACCTGTAGAGAGAAAAGAGAATTAAGAGTTATCAATAATTGGTCATTAATTAACACCCATACCATGTCAATATTACAACACTGAAAAAAATGTTACAGTAAGTTTTATTGACAGATAATGTAAGACAGGTGGTATAAGTACTTTAAGATTTTAATGGGGATTACAAGTTTTCAAGCTTGAGGAGATATACATGAATGGAGATGTTATGAACACAGAGATTCACTTAAGCAAAAGAGGATTTGTACCATAAATTATTCATGTATTTGTAGCACATATGCAAATGGCATGAGGTGTAATCATGGTGAATAACAAGGGGAAAGTATCTATAAAGCTACGTTAGTCTCCACTGGTCTCAGTGGTGTGATAACATTTCTTTAATTGATCTCTTTCTATGAATACTTCATCTGATACACTTTAACCCCGTCTTTCCAAATTTCCTTTTTCCATAAAAATTTTAGTGTTTACTGGCAAAAAACATAATGGGTATTTGAAGAAAATACATGTATTTGTAGTACATGTATGCATTTAATGAACCCTATTTGTCTGATTCTGTAGTTATGTAAAATAAACATGAGAGAGAGTGGTTGGGAAAAAATAGTTCCACTTCAGTGGACTGACTTTATTTCTACTTTGAACCTTTTGATCACTGTCTTCTAGGCTATGTGGAACTAGATTTTAGAAATCATTCATTTGGCAGCTTTGTTGAAAAAAGTCTTAAAGGCTCAGGGCACCTTCATCACTTTGAAGTGTCAGTAAACTCAAGGAAGAAGATGAAGCTGAGAATGAGGATGGAGTGGTATGAACAGAGTAGTGTAGAATGAAAGGCAAATTCTCACTCTCACTCCATTCTCTTAGTTTCCTTCAAGCTGCCATTTGCAATAGTATAAACAGGTGACAAAAGTTCTTATATCAGTGGTTAAATTTACTATCAGTATAAAATGAATTATTCTAATATAGGGAACTCCAATAATTAAAAAGGAAATCCATCTCAAAACTACTCTCTAAGGGTATGGGAGAGCAAGACCAAAGCAGTACAGATCTCCATACAATCATTAAGCCATCATTTTCCTTTTTCATTCCTGGCACATCTTCCTTGAACAGGATAAACTATAATTATTTTCATCAGACCATTATCCACCACTTACATCGTCTAAGGATTATCTATTTATGGGATTTAAACTTTGCATAATGAAGTGGGGGGGGGAATCACATATGTTTACCAAGATCTGAAGCTGAGTTCAATTTGTTTTTAGAGAGAACTGCATCTTTAAAAAGATATGGCCCCAAAGTGGTTAATTATTAAAGTCTTAGAAAACTAATTATAAATATTTACTATTTTTCTCCCATAACAATCAGCCACTATATTTCAGATTGAAATGCTCACTAAATTTAACATGTTTAATTTAAAATATCAACATTCTTGAATAAAGAATCCCTGAAGGAGGGTTGCTACTACATGTGGCACATCTGCTTATATGAATTAGAAAACATCTTAGCTGTTAATATTTTATTCTACAAGTGAATTCAGAAATATGGTAACTACCAAGGAAAAGGTCTCGGCTTCTTACAGACACTGGAAAAAGAAAAAATGAGAAGAACTGCCATTAGATGAAGGCAGAGTTGCTATTTAGATTTAGAAGCAAAATAATAGGATCAAATACGGAAGTCAAATATTTTCCACTAGAAAACACATGATGGGCCCAAGGGTTAAGGGATAGAAAACTTCAACGAGTGCCAATTTCTAAAAATAAATGAATAAATAAGCAAAAGCATGAAGAAGTCAGTGAAATGGCATTCAAAAAAAATGAAAACAAAGGACTCTTCACCAGAAGAACAAACTGAAAGTCTACAGCAAGGTCGCCTGTAGGTTGCCAATCTTAGTTTATTCTTGCAGGACTTGAAATTTAAAAATGTACATGGGGAAAATGCCCAAATATTAACACTTATGCTCACATTTATCAGATTAGTACAGACTTGTAGCTTTATTTCAGAAACCTAAATATATTCATAAATAACTAGGTCATTAATCAAGTGACAGGAGTCAAATTTGAAAAAGGGTAATTTGCATATGTAAAATTTAATTTTTGAAGGAGGTGTTTTGGGTGGATATTTAATATAGTAATTCATGAATATCAATTGCAACTGGGTAGTTTCATACCCATACGATTATTTTGAAGATATACCACTGAATCACAAAATAAGTTTAAATGAATGATGCCCAAACAAACAACAAAAATGCGGACATATGTGGCACAGAGGAACACATCACAATGAAAGGAGAAAGCTATTAAAAGCGAAACAAGTCTGTACCACAGAAAATTGTTATTACTGTGGCACTGAATTCAGGTGATATCCAATTAGCAGAGGTGAAACAGAATTGTATTTGGCAATACACCTGCAGCATATTTATTCTGCATGTAAGTTGTACGCCAGATTATTTTCCTGCACAGTTTGCTCTTCTGCCTCAATGTGAATGACAGAAGCTCTAATGATTTTTCAGTACTGATCTGACAGCTGGTTCATGGGACCACACTGATAAATGGAATTTATCAGCCATTCAGGTCATTCTTACTTGATGAAGGGTCTGTTATCCTCATAGCTAAAGAATGCATAGACATAAAGACAAGAACACCAACATTAGCATTTTATGACAGAGTTTCATATGAAAAATATTTTCCTTGTTCCCAAAGGTCTCTGTCCCCCACCTCCCTAAAAGAAATCATAACCCTTTATATCCAGAAGGCAAGTCCTAAAATGACCATGAGAATTTAAATAACAAGAAATAAAATCAATTTTTATAATACTGCAATATCCCTTATCAGACTCAAAAATTCCATTTTTTCATCATGTGCTCATATTACTTGTGGCTTGACAGAGACATTTATTTCTTAGAGATCACATTTCTCTAGAGAATGAGAAATTTTATAAGCAGTCTGTAAAAGGCTTGGGGGCATGCTTAAAATGACAGATTTCATGTCACCTAAAGGTATTCTTATTCTATAACGTTAGTAGGTAAGATTACTTAATTATGGACAGTACGCTTCCAAGTAATTTTAACTTGCAGATGATTGACCTGAGTAAAATCTTAACATTATAACCTTTTGAAAATAATCAATCCTGACTACTAAAAAACCCCTTCTGTTAGTGAACTGAGGGAAAAAAGGAGTAATCTTTTGTAGTAATAGGAAAAAACATATAGTATTTGCTTTTGTCACTTATATTTACTAATTTATTCCATAGTTTTCTGATAAAATAAGATCCCAATATCCAATTAGTAAAGACAGGTAACATTCTATATCATCTTTTTAAATATATAATTTCTACTCAGAGAATTGTGATAAGACAAAGAAAAAAAAAAAAGAGAAGAGAAACTGTTCTTTTCTCTTGCCAGAAGCAAGGTAGTTTCCTATGTTATGACATACAAATATAAAGCTCTTTGAAAGGCCCCAACTGTGATGTATTTTGAATAAAGAGGAGCACTGATAAAAACTTACTCTCCAGAATAATGAAGGTATTTGAAGTCAGTTTGCCTGGGGTTTACATCTTAGCCCTGCCACTTATTAGCTACCTACTTGATCTTAGGCAACAATTAATTAACCTGTAGTTGTGTCCATTTATACACCTATAGTATGGTAATAATTAAAATAAGCTTCTTGTGTTACAATGTAGGCTTCTTGTGAAAATGAAATCATTTATTAAATGCTCAGAACAGTTCCTAACACAGAATGTGTTCAATAAATATTACATACTGGGTATTATTATTAGACTATTTAAAGCTAGAGTAAAGTCACACTGAAGATACAAAATTTCTCACACAAAAAATAAAAAATAAAATATATAAATGCTGAGTAGTTGGATTCATTTGAGAAAGTTTCGGGAATAATATGATGCAGTAAAATAAATGCGGTCGAAATAAGTTGATAGATGGAGTGAGGAGTGACTAGAACTGAACGTCCAACATGATGATTACTAGCCATATGTGGCTATATCAATTTAAATTTATGAAAATAAAATGAAGTTTAAAATACAATTTATCAATCCCACCGGTCACATTGCAAGTACATAAAAGCATCATATAGCTAGTAGCCACCATACTCGACAGTGTAGTGTTAAAACACTCCTGTTAGAACAGAAAGTTCTAGGACAGTGCTGAATAGGACACTCAGAGAGTTTTAATCTAAGAAATGATTTTCCAAGTGATATTTAAATAATTCCGTGAATTTGTGAAAGATAAAGAGAGAAGAATTTGTAAGAACTGATGATATTTAACAGTTGTGGAACATGGCTAGAAAAAAAAATATTGTACTTACATTAATATCAAAAAGTTATAATAAATAATAATGTGATGTTTATTTTATTATATGCACTTCCATTGCGTTGGCATACTCCATCTGTCATGCCAAATTCATGATTGCAATAACTCTTGCTACCTTAATTTAGATAGTACCACACCAAGTAAAGAAAGTTGTAGGGGTTAGTCATAGAAATCCACGCAAAAATGCTCTGTAGAGTTGTATTAAGCTATATAAATGTTTTAAAACAAATTTAATTATGTGTAGTTTAAGGTACACAACATGATGCTGTGGGATACACATAGATAGTAGAAAGGCTCCTACAATGAAGCAAATGCACACATACATCATTTCTCATAGTTACCATTTTGCTTTTGTGACAACAGTAAGCTAAAATCTACTCATTGCATGAATCCCAGAGACAGTCCAATTTTATTACCTACAGTACTCATGTTGTACCTTAGATGTCCAGACTTGTCCATTCTACACATTTTCTACTTTGTATCCCCTGGCCTACATCTTCCTCTTTCTTTTTTATCCCTAGTTTTATTTCCTATCTCTGTACTTTATAATTTTTTTTAAAAATTAAGATATAAACCTTGCACTGTAGTTGCCGAGGTGATATCTGTTTTGCCAAAGCAATTTCACTGCAGTTATTTTAAGATTTTATAAAAAATATGGACACAGAGGCATAAAATGCACTTGGCAGATGTTCATAGGAACTTACAGGTTATTTTATAATCTATAAGTGCTAACTTATTAAAAAATAAAGTAAAATATCTTCTATATTCAATTTTCAAGAACAAGTGGGAGAAAATAAATTTTTTATTTAGATAGTACATTTTTTTCTTGTAACGATGTGGGACACAAGTCGGGATTGGGCACATAAGTAGTCTATGTGCAGGTGAAGTTTTGGTCCCCAACTGGTTCTCACTTCCCCTGGTTTAGGATTATGTGCCTTAGTGATGCTACATGCCTCCCCTTCTTCCCCTGGCAGTGTCCTGCCACTGCTGATCCCTCTTTTGTAGTGTTGTGATAAATGACTAGGAACCACTTATAAGTGAGAACATGTGGTAGTCAGTTCTTTGTTTCTGTGATAGATAACTAATTATGATGAATTCTAAATCCATCCAAGTTGCTGTGAAGTGCATACTGCTGTCCTTCTTTATGGCTCAAATAGTGTATTTTTCTTTTGTCAGATATTTTATTATTTTATTCTTACTAATGTCTAAAACTTTATTTATTTAAATACTAAAGTCATAAAATTATCTTAAAAGTCAATTCCAGAACCAAGATTAGAATTTTTTAAGTCTCTGCATAAATGGACAATGATTATGCATATATTAATATATTCCATAACAATTCCAAAGCACACAAAAGAAAAATCTAGTTTCATGGAAGCTTAGCTTAAAGGTACATTTTCAAGAGGCTAGGTTTCTCAACCAAAATATTAACCTATAAATTAATGCTATTGTGTAAACACTCATACATAATATCAGCATAAACAGACAGAAAACATGATTGAATCAGGCTATAGGATATTCTTTCAATAACTTCAAAAGTTAATACACAAAATTAGTTATTATTTTTGACATGGCTTTTGAAGTAAATATTATCTAAAATTCAAGATATAAAGGAGATAAACTATTTAAATAGTTTCAAGTGTTCCCTTATATTATATTTAGATAATACAGAATATTTTTAAAATAATAGGATGAGTGAAGTTTGGTGTGAAGCAAGATGGAGTGGGTGATGGCAGGCATGTTTGAGAGTTTAATCCTAAGTCAAAATACCTGGTCATTGATAAGTCACAATAAATAAAAGAAACAATCATTTTTGCTGAATTGCTGATCTCGTCAACTTCAAGTTGAATACATTCTGGAATTCTCTGGAATAGTTGAAGAATTAGCTAATTTGTGTTGGTAAGTGAGATGTATGTTTAATAGAGAGTTGGAGCATTATCATGATGTATGATTTGTCTCTCAACATTTTCAGTTTCAGTATGTAATTGAATTTACTTTCTCTGGAATAAAACTAATTATATCAAAGGAATAAAGACTTTTGCCCCTTTAAATGTGGTTTGAGAGTTACTAGAGAAAGACAAAGGTAATATAGGTGGGTTTCTCAAGATAAAACTATTTCTCATAGAAGGGAAAACAGGTAATAAATACCAATGCAAATATATGTTGAATAGGCTTTCCTATTGTCCCTCAATCAATCAGGCTCCCAGATAGGATTGAGAATATTCAGTTACCCATATTCTAAAAGGAACCAGCAGATACCTGGGTGTAAAGACTTCCACAAGGCTTACTTAGATGTGATGTAAGAGACATTGCTTTGCCATACTACCAAGCCAGATGATCCCAGTCTTTCAAAATGCAAAGGTAAAACAAGTCCATTTTAGGTTGCAGTGTTCACAGAATATATGAAATAGTAGAAAGAAGAAACACATTTTCTTATAGCAATCCCCTGGTCACAAATTTTAGCAGGCAATGGAGGAGGAAAGTTTTAAACTGGATATATATTCACATTTTAGATTAGTCAGACATGTAATAATACAAATGGACTGGAAACATTGTAATATCTGTCTAAGATAGCATTAATCTATCTTCTACCCAGTGACTAAGGGATATTTAAGATAGCATAGCTAGAAAATTAGTGATCAGAGAAAAATCTAAAAGTTCATGTTTATATCCCATTGTTTTGAAAATGCTCAAGCAATTGGTTACTCTTATGAGAGAAATTTTGATGGTTTTATATTTCTCTCAAGTGTATTTTATGTTAGTGAGACTATAATATCTTGAACTTATATTATATTCAATTCTCTCTTTGTTCATCACTATAGGAAGATTAAAAGGAAAGGTATTTAAAAATTAATTCAATAGTTCTGAGTAAAATATGAATGATGTTTCTTTATAGTCATATAGTAATCAAGAAGCATTAAAGATATCAAAAATTCTTAGAAAAATGATAGTCATATAATACAAATGAAAAATTATAAACAAAAAAGATGATTATATTTCAAGATGATTTTATTTCTATTTATATATTACTGTCAAAAGGTATATTCTTATATTATGGTCATAGGAAATTTATTAAAAAGAATAAAATGAACAAAATAAATAAAGCAAATGGTTTAGAATATATCGTAAACATTTTTTATCACCTCTCAATATCCCCATAACAATGTTGCAGATTTGAAAGCAAAACACCAATATTAAATTATAAAACACAGATTTTACATTGCTTTTATATCAAGTAAGTCTGAAATTAGGAAAAATTGAGCATAATAAATTAAGATCAATAT